CCCGGGATTTTATAAATGTAGGGGTAGTTCTTAATATGAAGAGAATATTAAGGGTTTTGGAGCTTGGGGCTTAGGACTTGAGACTGGCTACTGCATCGAGCCTGTGACATGTTGTCTTGAAATATTTATTGTCCATTGGGTGTTGCATGTCGCGGCATTTGAAGTTTTGCAGTGTCTCGCGTGACGAGCGGAACATGCTTTCTTGTCGCTGCAGTGGGGTGTGGAAGCGACACTTATGGAGGCGCTCCAAGTCCTTAATCCTCAGCCGGAAACCCTAAACCCCTAGACTGTGTGGCACCACCACAGACCAGAAGATGCTTCTTTGAGAGGGCATTTGGGAGGGATCCTCATTTCGTTTGGGCTTTATTGGGGTTATGTTAGGATAATGGAAAATAACATGGAAACTACTACTTAGGGCTTTATAGGTTTAGGGTTATCTTGGGGTTTTATATATATATATATATGTATATGTAGGCTGTCAGCAAACAAAGGAGCTTTTCCTTGAAGCAATGGACAGCGCTTGTACGTCTCCGACAAGATGTAATTGGGACTCTGAGCTACATGACTTATGTGTTCAGCTACGCTGGAGGGATGTTAAGAGAGTTGCAAAGACGCTGCACCGCGAAGAAGATGTTGATGTTTGCGTAGTGAGCACAGGCAGGTTTGGTGATGTCGTCAGGAAAACTTACCTGAAGCAGACCATGCGAAGCGCATCTCGACCGCGTTCGTGTCTTCAAGAGCAGGTCGCATATGAGGCGACCATCATGAAGTCTTTGTCAGGGGTGGATGGTGTTCTTGCGCATTTGGCATGGTCGATGTGCTCAAAGGATTGGTTCCCTGGCTGTGGCCGTGAGCTACGCAGTTTCTACTTTCCCTACATTCAGGGCGACTACTTTCCCACAGAGCCATGGGACATTCAGCGCTACATCCAGCAATTGCTTCAAGTGCTTGATGCCCTACACCGTCGCGAAATCGTCCATTGCAACATCAAACGCGCCAACGTGCTCTATTCTCATGGCAAGGTGACCTTGATTGATTCTGGGTTGCCGAGAAAGAATTTAAAGGGCGTTTTTCGATTTTGAATACACTGCATGTCTTTAGTATGCGCCCATACCTGGGTACCCCTTTGAGTTCCTCGACAGCAAGCCAGGATTTTGAGTCAGCAGTGTATGAGCGTGAGCTGGTAAACATGGATGGTGTAAAGTACAAAGGAAATGACAGATACTATGCTCCAGAAGTGTTCGAGCGTCAGATGGGACACAACAAACATGGCCGACGGGTTTTCTATGGGCACAGGCGAGATGTGTATGGTGCAGGCATCATCCTGGCCGAGTTTTTGCTGGGATATGGTCCTAGTGAATACATCCTAACGCATGATTTGTCACGGAGGAGGTTCCGTCGGGCGTTGGGAGGTAGCCAAGGGACTATGCCAGACGCTCTGAATGGTTTGCGGCTCTACGGAAGTCTCGAAGACTCCACATTCAATTTGCACCTGAGGCGTCATAGTGAATTGTCTCTTTTGTTCCTGGACTGTTGGTAAGCTCATTCTGGATTGCTGCTAAGGAGCTTAAACTTGAATGATTCAAAAGGGTAAGGACAAGCAATGAAAAGGAAACTGGCAAACTGGAACCAAGAAAAGCCCCCATGCCCTCAACCTTAAATGAGAATAGCTTGGGTCCCCAAGGGTCCAAGGACCCAAATAATAGGGTTTCAGGGCCCAAAGACCATTAATACTATAGTATTTGGGCCCTAAAACCCTATTATTTGGGTCCTTGGACTCTTAGGGGGTGGGACGACTAAGCTGCGCAGCGCGACAGGGTGTGCCCCGACATATGAGCTATAGTCTAAACTCTTTAAGGGGGGTTATATGTGGGATTATATAGGGGAGTTTTATAGGCGCTATTTGGGGGGATCTAGGGGTTTAGACTATAGCTCATATCTAAGAGAAAAGGCTCACACCCGCGCTCGTCCATTGACGCACACCTTAGACCCTAAACCCTAAACCTTAATAGAACCGTACCCTAAACCCTGAACTGTAAAACCCTAAAACCCTAAAACCCTACGTAAACCCTAAACCCTGAACCCTACCCCACCAAGGTTCTCCCTGAATTCGCGTCTAGGGGTGTAGGGCTTATGGTGGTGGTGATCGAGTCCTGAACCGCAGACTTTCCCTAGAAGCCCAGTTACCTATATATTGGGTTCCTGTCCTTAAGTCCCTATATAATTTCATACTATCTGTAACCCAAGGACCTACTGTATGGGTACCTGGGCTTCTAGGGTTTATCATAGAATTCACCCTTCCCCAAACGAACACGGAACCTGAAATAGTCACCTTAATTTTGTTGTAAAGGATAGAAGTCTACAGCAAGCCCTTTTCAGGTTCCGTTTTAGTTTGGGGGAAGATAGTTGTTCTGGGCACCCTGAAACCCTAAAAATTAGCCATCCTTAACCGCAAACTCAGATGAGCTCAGCTTACATTGCAGTTGGGTTTGGGAATATGCCCCAACGGGCCTTTATTTACTGGTTCTTAGTAGGGAACAAGGGATTACATATATATATATATATATATTTATTTATTTATACATATATACATATATACATATATATAGGTAGTATGAATATTACACGTAGCAGGATTATAAGTCACTGCAATTTGCCGTGGTTGTCGTAGCATACCTAGACTCGCCAACAAGCCTCACCTAAACCTTCAGCCCTACGCTCGCAAATCCTAAGAGCCCTGAGCCGTAATTCTTGTATCCTAAGCCTGAAGCCCCCAACCCTGAAACCTCAAACCCATAAACCCCCATCATCCCTCTATGACCCTAAATCCCAATATAACCCCAATATAACCCTAATATACCCCTAATATAATGTCCTAAACCCCTATTAAATCATAAGCTCTAAAGCCGGAATCCTAAACCCTGCATCCCAAGCGCCTGCTTCGCTGTCTCGGCTGCCACAAAGGCAGGGGCCCAAGGAGCCACAAGTAGCATGGGCGTGGCACGGCGTAAAGTCTAATTTGGGTTCAGGGTCTAGGGTTTAGGGTTTGGGCTTTGCCCCAACCTTAAACCTTAGCCTCAACCCTAAACTCCAAACCCTAAATTTACACTTAACCCAGAACCCTAGATCCTAAACCCTCAACCCTGAAAACCCTAAACCCCAAATGCCAAACAAACCCGAAATCCTTAATCCTAAAGCCCTATACCCCACATATTGTAGTGTCCATTTTCCTTTCCATTATCCCTATGTAACCCCCAATACACAAACATCCTACACTCCAAAATCCTATGGGATTCGAAGCTGCTAAACCTAAACCCTAAACCCAAAACCCTAAACCCTTAACTCGAAACCCTAAACCCGAAACCCTAAACCCTAAACCCTAAGCCCTACACCCAAAGCCCTAAACCCAAAGCCCTAAACCCTATATTCTACACACAACACCAAAGTGAAAGTACAAAGCTGGAGCCATGGATCTGGCACCGATAGTCACACTGCCCCCGAGCTTCCGGATGGCTGCGGGAAAGGCCTTGATCTTTGGGTTTGGGGTTTGGGGTTTGAGGTTTAGGGCTTAGGGTTTAGGGTTTATAGGGTTTAGGGTTTAAGGCTTAGGGGTTTAGGGTTTAGGGCTTAGGGTTTGATTTAGGTATACTACGAACTTCACACATCCTAATCCTCAACAAAGCCATCGCTGGATGCTAGCAATCCTGCATGATCCTCAGTTACGAGTTAGACATGTACCCTCCCACCCGCCCCAAACAAAAATAGAACCATATTAGGCCTTATTAAGCTCCGTATAGTCCTTATTAGCTCCTTAAACCCATGGGGGGGGGGTGGTATTGTAATTCCTTACTAAATGTCCTATACCTGTGTAATCACGGTATCTTGTTATGCTGGTTTCATGGAGGATTTTGTGTATCAACCATACCCTTACACTAGCCCGAACCAACATGAAGCGGAAGCCCCAAAAAGGCCCCACAGGGCTTTTGGCCTTGTTAAAGAGGCCCTTTTAGGCTTCCATGTTTGTTTGGGGGAGGGTCCTTCTGTTGATATTAAAATTCTTGCATGACCTTAGCACACTATACTACCATAATCCCCAAGGCTCGAGGTGTTTAGGGTTCATGAGTTGGCTACACAAGGCTATCGATCCTGCATCGAAGATGTTGGTCGAAGAAGAGGAATTCAGAGAAGCTCCGATGCAACTTTACACTGAGTCTTTGCAAGAGCTCCACATCCAACTTCTCGAATATTGCATCCTGACGCGTTCGATCGTCATTCTGGACGGGTCTCTGGTTGGACTCTCCGCAATCAGCTTGACTCAGTCCTTTGTGGTGTTGCAAACGGAAGACAAAAGGGCGTACTAAGGGTAAGACTTGATGGCCTTGGAGCAGCTAGCTAACCCTGACCATCGCCGGTCATTGCTTGCTGAAGAAAGTGCCAGACCGCATCTGTTTCAACTTGTGCATGGCCTGCGACTCCAATTCAGGAGAAGTCGCTCGGAGGCCGAGGTTAGAGAGCCTAGAACTGGTGATCAGCGCGGGCACGATCTCTGTCCGGGGTACTTTCTTTGAAAGGATTACTGCGAATTGATTGAGAAAGTAGTGCAGATAGAGATCGACGCGGACAAGTCGTACGAGCACCTGTCTGGGACGGCGGAGGTCGAATTTTAGTGTCCCCCATACACCTTAAGCCCTACTTGAAGGTTCATAGGACTCGGTTACTACTTATAATTGCGGTTATAACCTACCTTGCAATTGGGCTAACCCCCAGAAGGCCATTAGGGTATCATAAGTAGGGTGATAAGTATCCCAGTTATACGTAGTAGTCCCATGAAGCTTCAAGTAGGACATAAACCCTAAACCTCGAGTACTGCCCACACGCATCGACAGTTGGGTAATATTGATAATATAGTTCTATATAGCCCCTAGTAGGGCCCCTATCGTAGACTGTTAATGGGTGGGGGCAGAACCCAACCTAAACTCCAAACCGCGTCAAAGCTCAAAGCCTGCATTCTCCAGTCGGAAGTTCCTTATGATTCTGATCTTTGGGGATCCAATGCCTCTCCATCCAAAGCCTCAACCCTCAACCCTGAGTTAGGGTTTAGGGGTTCAGGATTTAGGGTGTAGTAGGGGTTTAGGGTTTAGGGGTTAGGGGTTAGGGGTCCCTGAACCCCCAACCCTGAATTCGGGTTATATAAGGGTTAGTAGGGAACATGGGAATATAGGGGTATGATATAGGGTTATCAAGGGATAATGGAGAAGAACATGGAAACTACTTTTCAGCCCCTAAACTCGCAAAAAAACACCTAGAGCTTCAACCGATAAACACTAAAACTCTCAACCTTCAACCCCACATATCTCCCTATAACCCTCATATATCGTATGTATATATATATATGTACATATTTATTTTTTCCCACATAGATACAGCCCCAAACCCGAAGTCCGAAGGCCCCAAACCCTAAACCCCAAAACCCTTCGTCCCATATGTCCACCTCACCCTTATATAACCTTTATATTATCCGCATATAGCCCTTATATGAGCATCCATGTTGCAGGCTGCTTTGCGCGGTCCGAGGCTGCGACAACCAACCGCCGGGCAAGGGCTGGCGATGGGGACACCAGCGCTTGAGAGTTTGGGGTTCAGGGTTTGCGCTGATTTGTTGCGAGAAACAGCTTTTAAATTTGCATCCATGAGTCTAATTTCGGTCTAGGGTTTGGGGTTTAGGAATTGGGAATTGGGGTTTGGGGTTCAGGGTTTGGGGTTGGAGGTCGGGTTTTACTCCTACATCCTAATTCCTAAATCCTAAACCCATATTAGCTCCCTTCAAAGTTGCCCCTAAGGTTTCGGAAAGAAGGCTTCTGAGGGCGTAGGGGATATGCCATCGCGGCCACAGGGTGTCATATTCAGGGTTCAGGGGCTATAACCCTAAATCCTAGACCCTAATCCCTAAACCCTAAACCCTAAATCCTAAACCCTAAACCTAGGTGCCGTAGGCGCTGCGGGGTTTCGGGTTGGTGTGGATTTATAGTTGCTAGGGGAGCTTGGGGTAGTCATCTACGCAAGCTTTGTAGGGTCATAGAAGCCTAGACCCTACTGTAAATCCTAAATCCTCAGGGGTATATGCACATATATCATTTGTAAGTATATATATATATACATCTATGGAGACAGAGGATAGAGAGAGAGAGGGGGAGAGAGAGAGAGAGAGAGAGATGTTTGTGATGGTTGCGGCTTTTGGGTTGTGTTGCCTAACAGCTTAAATTCAATTTCCAGGGTTTGTGGAGCAGGGGTCAGGGGCTATAGCGATGAGGGTTTAGGGTTAAGTAAGGTTGCCACACTGGATAATCAAGCGGAAGATCAACTGGGAAACCAGTATAAGAGCATCGCAGAGTTTACTATATACCTTTCTTAGTACAGTAATTTACCCTAGAAGCCCAGTTATCTATGTGTTTGGTTCCTGTCCTTAAGTCCCTATATGATTTTATACTATCTGAACCCAAGGACCTACTATCTGGAGCTTCTAGGGTTACTTGAAGTTCC